CACACTCGACACCTGATGAGTTACTGCATCATCTTAAATTCCTGCTGTTATGTTTAAAAGGCACAAATGCTGTTCGTCAGTCGGCCGACGCTAAGCTCACTGTCTCCTGTGTTGATGGCAATATCCACACTGCCAAACTTTTGTTAATTTCCACATTTTCTCTTTAAACTGTTCACCTTTATTGTACAGTACACAATTATGATATGAAATTCAGTACTGTATAAGAATATAGAATAAATTTCTTTCATCTAATTTACCATATACTACTGTATTACATAAGAGTTAGGTTCTTTTAGTTACCTATCCCATATTTTCTTTCTGCTTCAAAGGCCTGCCCACCTTTGGTAAGGTCAAGACTGACAGAGTAGGAAAGGTCATAACTCAATAATTATACTGTATTGTACATTTCCCCAAATTTCAAATACTGTATCACTACCATATTCAGCATTGAAAACTACATTAAAAACATGTTGCCTTTCATGCTAAAATTGTTTGCTGGTGTTTGCAGAATGAATTACCCAGTTTAGTACCAGAGCAGAGCATACCATAGGCAGGAAGAGTTAGTGGTAAAAATTCATCAATGCCCATAATAGGAAATTAATAACCAAAATAGAATTTTAATAAAATTTTCACGGTGATTTAAAAGAATATAACTTTCATTTTTGTTGCCGATTTATATTTATGGTGATATAACAATGATTTGCAGGGCTTTGAAGATGAGGAAAATGTAGGGTTAAACACTAAAAATTAAAAAACAATTAAACCTTTGAAAACCTGACCTACTCTTTCCTAACCTACAAAAAGTCCAATGGAGGAGCAATAAATGATTCTCTTCTTGTTTCTGGTGTTCATCATGATGAAGCCATAACATGAATGAATATTTCCAGGGGAAATTTTTGAAAAATGCATAATTCTCTCATGAGTAAAAGTACTGAACTCTTATTGATCGAAGCTGATTATGTGAAGGTCACATGAAAGAGATTTGAATATAATATCCCACAAAAATGTTTTTAGTGAACTTAATATCCATCAATATTGTTGTAACCTGATTTTGTCTATATAACAAACTTTCTGGAGAACTAGTAAACGTGTGGTTGTGTACGAAACCACTGTCATTGGTAGTGGTAAAGGGGTCATCAGCAATGAAAATTATAGCCATACTCTTTCAAATCACCTGAAAACCATAAGAAAAACTAATCGTAATTTCTGAGAACAGCATTACCACCGAAAAGATTTGTTCAATTTCATTCATGTTTTCCACATGTTCTTATCATTATAGTAGGTATTTTAAGAGACGAACTTTTAATTAAAATATACCTTTTTAAAATTTTAATTTTTCTTCTACGATCATAAATCACCTGTAGTGGGCATGGCATGAAGAATGAGGGAAATTGAGCCTATGACACTAAAATAGTGCCTCTACGTGCCTTGTACATGATTCCGCCTCAAAATCTGCCAAGTCACTAGATGTCATCTGTTTGTTTACAACCGAGCCATCGTTCACAGCGTACCGTCAAGCCCACAAAAAGGGTAAAATTATACCATTGCGCTTCAACAAAGTTGCTTTCACTGGTACCAGATATCATAATTATGTACTTTATGTTTAATAAAGTGAGGGGTCTTGAGGGCAGAGCCCCACCTAGGAAGTTAGGTAAATGTCTTTGGTTGGTTGCGTGGTAATATTGCAGTAAACAGCAATCACAGAATTTCGGAAATTCACTATACCTAATCGATAGAACTATTTTTTCTTTGATAATTTTCTAATATTACATTAGGTTAGGTTAACACATTTTTTTATCAGATTCTTTGGTTGCTGTAATCTGCAATTTTACCAGTTAAGTCAGGTTCTATTGGGTTGTAATTAATATTGCCTCTTTTAAAATACACACTACAATAACGAATCTTGAATGAGTTAGCCATTTTAGTGATGATTTATATATATCTCAACTGAGGCTATTAACAGCCCAAGAGATTGATAACAAGGCAACATACTTACTGTACCCTAGTTCAGTGATGGTTTGTCTTTAGTCATTAGGACCATTACGGGCCCAGTGAATGAAAACAAATCAGCCACTAAATCTAATGTTCACATGGGACTAGGTACTACTATTTGTATATAAGCACATACATGAAATTCCAAATTCTACTTGTAACATTGTACACCAGTTTTACAATAACAAAGAATGGTGGCAGATTAAACCACATTACACCTGTTCAACTAATGCTTGACTCAACTTTTCCTCTGGTACCCTAAACGTTAGCAGTTACCTTCCTTTTCCAAGCTCTCCATTCACTTTCTAAATCACATAATATATTTAGTAGGTCTTTGGTGTTTAATACTCATCATCAACAACAATAAATATGTATAGAGTAAATATATAGGGCATATAAACCTACCAGTTCCAGGACCTGCGTGTTGGCGTTCATTTCTGGCTTTGTTTTGATGTGCGTCGAGAGTCAGCTGATGATGACGTCACTCACCGCCGGGTTTAAATACCTTATCAAGTGAGGTTAATAATAATGGTATTCATCCTTTTAGCAAACTTTACCTTGGCACAATTGAAGAAAATTAATATATTTTAAGTTAGTATAGGAGACGGTATTAAATGCTACATAAACTATTCCACTGGTGTTAGTCGCCCTATTTAAATTATCTACTGTATATCATATATCATTCTTTATATCTCTCTTCCCTAACACCATATACATATATTTTTATTTTTTGCAATTCTTCTCAATACATATTTTACAGTAATTCCCCAAACTATTACCACAACAAAGATATGAACAGGTGTAAGTTATTTATTTGGATCGATTGTTTTTTATTATGAGCCAAAGCAACTGGCGAAGAGGATATGTAAGATATTGAAGATATCACTTAATTAGGTAAACCATGCACATAATCTCATAGATGTAGAAATATTGAACCTACCTGAAAGATATAATACAGTATATTATCAAATGACTAATGCCACAGCATCATGGAAGCACGTTGTTACAGGTTTAAAGGGACAGGTGCCACGTTATCTTTTGAGAATAATGTTATATTATAGTTAGATATGGTTAATAATTGAAACTAAATTGTTGTCATTTACTGTAGAAGTTATATAAATATTAAGAGTGCATGACTAGTGTTGGTGGCTATACGTATCGCTGAACAATGTGAATTATTTGACTCCTCCTTGGCCTGGAGACACAAGAGAAGGGTGTTGTTATCCTTGAGTGTGATCCTAACAAACATCACCATAAGTTTCACGGATTAAGGTTTCCTTCTGTACTAACACCTGACCAACCACCCGAACGGTTAATTATCTGATTAAGTGGTGGAAATTAAAACAAAAATATAGTCAGGATATGGCAACTTGACAAGAGTGGAGGACCAATAGGGTGCCTTAACTACCCCGCTTCAAAACAAAACAGCTGACGGTTCCTCCCGCTGGTGTCTCTGCTTCTACTCGTATTTTTCACCGTCTCATGTTCTGGATTTCCTCATATCTACCATGAAAATATTGGAGATAATCTTATTGTTATTTTTTGTTAACTTGTGCCATGGAGGGTTGTTCACTTGGTTATTTAAAGCTAAAACGAAGGAGAAACAGCCCATTGTCATCAGCTCAGACACTGCCTTTGGGAATACAAATGGTAAGTTTATTTGGTGTTTATGATTCCCAGAATTAATGTGTTTACTGTTTTGATGTTTCATTACTGAATGTAAGTAAAGTCCATGTCTAAAATTGGCAAACGTTTACTTAAGTGCTGTGAGCGATTTCGCCAGCAAACACATTTTTTTTCCTGCATGAATTTTGCTGTTTTTGTTTTTATTATTGGAGATAGTTTATTTCTGGAGAAAAAACAAAATACCAATGTTTTCCTTATTTAACCTAGCATAGCCTGACCTACCCCCTCCCCCCTCTGAGTGGTTATTTAATGTCAGTATTTAACCTAATGTAATATTCCCCTATTGAGGAAATGCTATTTTTCTGAGTTGGGTCATGTATTATATAGCATGGTAATGGAGGGTGTTGGTGCTACAGCTGTAATGTGCTATCTTATTTACCTTTTGGTATGTGTTATTATTTCACTTGTTGCCAGCCAAAGAGTTTTTAGAATTTTTTGGGTTGCAACACTAAGACACTCGGTTAGGAGGTTAGGTTATTTGCCAGAGAAGCATTACAGTATAGAAGAAAAGTGTCTTAGAATTGTTTAGACTATTGAGTACATCCATAAAATTCTCAAAATTCTTCGGGTGGCAACAAGAGAAATCTTACATAATGGCCATTAATTAGAGGTGGCCATACTGAGGGAAGGAGGCCAGCTCCCTGTGTAGGATCCCTCCATTGTTCTTAATAATTTTGTCGAGGTCTATTTTGAAGCCCAGTACTGTTCTGTTCTTGATTCCACAGCTTGGGCTGGTAGACCGTTTCTACCACACTGTGAAAAAGTATATTCTTATATTCGTTCTGCATGATAACTTGGCAAGCTTGTAGTTATCTAACTTATCTGTCGTGGTTTCATGCTCCTCTACAGGCTTTAATACCTCCTTAACTTGTGTCATATATTCTCTGCAAAGAAACATGACAGGTTTATTGTCTAAAGCTGAGATGCATTTGAGGGCTTCAAATAGATCCTCAGTCACTCATAAGCATCCCTTGTGGTAATCTATCTTGCAGTTTTGGCATATAAGGACCCCGGCTTAGTTGCTTGAGAGCTCATTGCAGGAACCATAGAGGCTTCTACAGTAGTAATTTTTGTTGTTGTTTTATATTGCCTTAACTATCTTGTTCTTGTATGGTTTAAATATGGCAACATTGGCCAATGCTTGGCCTTGCTGCGGTGGGAATTATGAATGCTTCAGCTTAGCTAATGCCTGTTATGCGACTCGTCTCTCTAGGGAGAGGGAACTGTCTTCCTGAATTATGATTCTTATACAGCTTCTAGGTATACAAACTTTTAGGTGTTACTATTGCGGTGTACTTACAACTCGACCCATCTTAAATAACCAACTTGGCCCACGCATTTCTAACTCGGCCCATCTTGCACACTTAAAACAAGTAGCTGACTAGTGGTTGAGGAATGAGTTTGAGATTTGTTTTATGTCTCTTTTGGTTCATTGAAATATGAAGTTTGAATGAGTGAATACCGAGGGCACAATCGGTATGAAGAACGAATTTTATGCGTTTGTGTTAGTAGAACTTGGTCAATGAACCATGATTCACATTCGTAACAAAGGAGTTTCCTGTCTGTTTATAAAGTGTAAAGTCACTTCATGTTGTTGTTAGATTACAGGATCAGTCACATTCTGAGTCCTGACCATGGCTGACCAGTGCTTGGTATGCATGGCCCACCTTGCACACTTCAAACAAGTAGCTGACTAGAGGTTCAGGAATGACATCTGGACCCCATCTGCTTGGAGTGTATTTAAAAGGTGTGTCGGCACAAATACAGTAATGACTGTGAAGGGTGGCATAATTGCCTTAACTTGAAAGCAAGAAAAAGGACAACTTAACTTTTATTTGTTAATCAAGTTACTCCATAATGAAGCAAAACTAGTGACACTCCAGGTGCGGCTCTTGTCCATTAGTAAAGTGCTACGAAAACAACGGGCCAATTATGTACATCACCAAGAACAGCTCTTCAAACTGTGGGACAAATTCAGTAGTGGATGAAGAACTGTTAAAGATTTGCTACGAGCCGTTTGACATCATGTGACTTTATCAGTAATGTTTGTACTTTTATGTTGATTTTTATCATTGTACTTTTGTACTTTTATATGACTGTTTATCAGTAATGTTTGTACTTTTGTACTTTTATCAGCCATGCAAAAATAAATGTGTAAAATGTGTTCGTTAACCTAAGTGGTCCGAGTAGGACCACTAATGAGTATCATTGGTTTATTGCTCTGTTTTCTACTCTTACACTTAACTCTGGTGAACTAAGGCAACTGTTACTTTTCCGTTAGGTTTTCCTCAATTTCTGATGTATTGTGGCACTGATAAGAATAGACTCTTCGCCAAGGTAACCTTGGTGACTTAAGTGTTCACTGCCCTAGTTGCAAAGTTCATCACGTGAAATGTTTTTTGCAGAAGCCTTCACGGCACGTTTACATGAACGCAAACCATCTCTCACGAATGTGTCAAGGGTTCGAGTCCTGCTTGACCAGAACACTGTGTGAAGGATGGTATCCCTTGTGACTCTACCGATCATCACATGCTTCCTCCTGGCACTCCAGTTTCCTCTTGTACTAACACTGGGTAGACCAACTGCTCGAATGGCTAGTTAGCTGATAAGTGGTGAAATTATTAAAAATACAGCAAAAATAAAAATAATCCATGAACAATGAATTTATCAGGGACAAACCAAAGTTTGGCACCAGTCAGTGATCCGTTAAAACACTCGGACATTATTCGATAATTGTTTGTTCTAAATCACTTGAACATGCTGGAGGAGACCATGGCCCATTTGCTACTTCAAATTACTTTCTTTTATTCCCCCGTATGATGTATTTCCAGTAAAAGAACAGTTTCGTAATGTAATTTGCTTTTTTTTTTCCAACCCTTTATTGCAGAAGATGCAGGTGTTGTGACAGAAGTTGTTTTAGCTGCTAAAATACCATTTGAAATAAAGTCTTCAGATGAGAAGTTCTTAATGGAAGCTGCAGCATATACCTCCTTGAAGCTGTCTGAGTTAGATGTTTGTCATCATAAGGTAAGATATTGTATGTATATATTTTATGTGAGGTTTTGTGAATATTTCTTTCTCTTTCAGAAATTGCAAGTCATCTTGTATCAATGGCAAATTTAGTAGGTGGCATTATTGTAAGAAATTGTATACTGTTATGTGCTCTGGTTATATTTTTATATTATTTTATTAAAATGTATGTAATTACTGGGTATATTATATGCAGTATATTGGTAGTTGACAAAATATCTTGTTTCAGGTTATCTTGGGACTACAGACATCATGTGCAGAACTGACTGAAGAAGACTTATCCAAAGTAGCTGTCAACCTTCTGAACTGTCAATCAGTGGCAGAGGGGCGACCAATTTATCCCTGCACTAGTGACATGGTGAGCATTTAACTAATTGTGCCAAAGTTTATTTTTCAGTCTCCCAGATTAACATTAGTCTCACCTAAAGAAAGTGGAACAGGTCCCCCAAGCTTTTTGGAATTTTATTCTTTACTGTCTTGATGTATCATAAATATTGCTTTTCTTGCATGTCTAACCATCTCAGTTTCCTGTTATTCAAGAATGTTTCTAAGGACTTCATATATATACTATATATATATATATATATATATATATATATATATATATATATATATATATATATATATATATATATATATATATATATATATATATATATATATATATATATATATATATATATATATATATACATATATATATATATATATATATATATATATATATATATATATATATATATATATATATATATATATATATATATATATATATACGAAATATATACATATATATATATATATATATATATATATATATATATATATATATATATATATATATATATATACACACACACACACACACACAGTTGTACCCCGCTTAACGCGGTCAATTGAACCCACAGGGTACCGCGTTAAGTGAACAACAGAACATATGGGATTAATTCCAATAGAGACTGGCCTGACCCCCAAACTCCACTTTTTGACGACACACAACTATGTTGTAGTAAAATTTTATCTTAACTTTATGATGGTATGAACAAACAAGTAATATAGAAGAGGTTAGGTTAGGAAAAATAAAGGTTAAGTTTGGAAAAATAAAGGTTAGGTTAGGAAAACTAAAAGTTATGTTGAACACTTATGTTAGTAGAAGAGATGGGTCGGCATACGGGGATGGAGGCTGGTTCCGAGGCAGAGGGCAGATTACTGGCCCTCAGGTGAATCACCATTACTAGGTGCATCACCATCACTGTCACTTACAGTTGTCAGGACTTCCCTGACAAATCCCTCAAAGTCACTTTCACTGTCACTGGCTCTGGCTGGCTGTGGTGGGTTGCGGGCGAAGAACTCGGTAATGCTTTTTTGACTGCTAGTGTTAATGTTGTCTTGATACACCGTGATGTACGGCTCCATAGCCTGCACCAGCCGGGTATGGAAGATTTCATAGCGGTCGTCGTCATTGTCGCGGGAAAGGAAGGACTTCATTTTTTCTGCACACTCCATGGCACCCTTAATATCACTATGACTTAACTTGTGTTCTTCGGAGAATGACGCACCTTCTTCCTCTTCACTGACGTGATCATCTTCCAACATCTCGTCGGCAGTCACTTCAGGATCTCTGATCACATCCAGGATGTCTTCGTTGGTGGTCTCGGAGAAGCCTTCAGCTGTAATATTGTGCGCAGCTTCTCTGGCAAGGTCCACTGCTACTGCAACAGCCTGAACCTCACCAGTCACAGGTTGACTCCTCCTCTCAGCTGGTATGCCATGCAACACATGTCTCCATGCGTGACGAATCATAGCAATAGACAGCTGATCCCATGCCTCCACCAAGAAGTCTACAGCTTGTTTGACGTTAAACTTCTTCCAAAACTGTTTGACGAGAACTTCTTGAGTCGCCACCTCTTGTTCCTTGTCCTCGTCGCATTTACTCTCGCTGTCGGTGTCACCCAGCTTACGCAACTCATCCTTGGTGTTGGTAGAGTCGTTCAGGGGCTTGAACTTCTTTGCAGAGTATGCAGCTTTCACATTGCAGATCAACTCCTGGTCCATGGGCTGGATTAATGACGTAGTGTTGGGAGGAAGGAAGACCACTTTTACGTTGGGGTGACGATCCATAAGTAGGGGCGAGTGTCCAGGTGCGTTGTCAAGGAGCAACAAAATGTTGAATGGAACATTCTGTTGCTCGCAGAATTTCTTCACGTCGGGAACAAAACAGTCGTCAAACCAGAAGAGGGACAGAGAAGAGGACATCCACGCCTTACGTGTGGTTAGCCAGTGGACATTAAGCTTGTTCATGTCCATATTCTTGTAGGCGTGCGGCTTGCGGGCTGTGTGAATCACCGATAACTTTGGTTTACAGGTACCGGAGGCATTGGTGGTAAAGAGGACGGTGATGCGTTCCTTCTGCAACATCCGACCCCTTACCTTGCTGGCAGACTGGACAACGAAGGTCTTGGAAGGTAGCTTTTTCCAGAAGAGACCAGATTCGTCCATGTTAAACACCTGGTCATCAGTGTACTGTCCTTCCTCCATAACCTCACGTAAGAACGGAGGAAAATCTCTAGCCGCCACAAGGTCAGCACTCGCTTCCTCACCACCAATGTTGGTGATCTTGTTCCTCTTCTTAAACCTATGCAGCCAACCAGAGGAAGCATTGAAGGGTTTGGGCTCTGCAATTCCCAGCTTACGTGACACTGCTGCGTAAAGTTCACGTGCGTACTCCTGCACTGAGCGCATGTCGACCGCCATGTTCCGTCTTGCCTGACGAATCAAATAACTCACCAGCAAATTTTCCACCTTTACCAGCACCCTGTTCTGTAAATACTTGATCATTGAAGCACCTGCAGACTTTGTGATTTTCATGTGTTCTTTAATCCTGGCTGTATCCTTCTTAGTAGTACGAATCGTAGATTCGTTGACGCCATGCTGGCGCGCGAGATCAGCTTGACGTGATCCTTTCTCCAAATCTTGAATGATCTGGTATTTCACTTCGTAGCTTAGGCCACGGCGTGTCTTCTTGGGCTTAGGGCGGCTGGGTCCAGGTAAGGAAAGGTTTCTCTCTGGTGGCGGTGGATGCACGTATACACGGGGTGACCTGGAGGGATGAAACTAGCGCGGCAGCGTCCTCTTTCCTCCCTCTCTCCCTCCCCGGGTGGACACGTCATATTACTTTAAACCAATTACAGCTAGCAGCAGAGGGGGTAGGGATGCATGGCCAATCACAGTCCGATATGTCATATGACGTCTGTGATAACGCAACAAAGACACACACTGTGCAACCTTACAGTACGGCTTGCCAAGGCGGAGGGAGGCGGGAGGGGAGGGAGGGAGGAGGAGGGAGAGGCGAGGCAGGCGGCAGCATTTTTCTATATTACAGTGTATACTACAATATACAGTAGTTATTATATATATATTTTTTAATTCGTTACAGACAATTTCAGATTGTACAAAAGACATGGATCCAAACACCTGGAATGCTTATCATATTGTATCTAATCGTGCAAGAGCAGTTTGTTATGCTTCCCGTCAAGAACAGTTTGGAGCCAAGACCCAGATGGCAGTCAACATGTTAATGCATACAGCTGAAGAACAAATAAAGTCAATGGATGACCTGCAGGTCAGTTTGTTGATTATCTTCAGCCAGATTTTCATTGTTTCATCTTTTTTTTATCACTTATCTAGTCTTCTTTTTAATATAAACAAACTGCTGTCTGCCCTTATTGTGTGGACTATTTAGTCTGAATGACTTTACTTACCCAGCCATGAGCTGTGCACTTCTTCAAATATATTGTTTATTCCTCATATTTTAACATACTAGTGCTTCAAGTGTGAAATTTTTATGAGCTTAAGAAAAACAGAAGAACTTATGCAATTATGAGTTGAATATTGAGGTTATAATTGATTTCAGCTTCATAGAGCCTTACACTGGACATAGAGGAATCTTATTGTAATCACCCTGTCTGTCTGTCAACAAATCTGTGTTTTTGACTTTTGAAGGTACTGGTAGTAGGTCAAAGTCAATACAAAATTGTGTATTATACTCATATGCAAGATATCTCAAGGCTAAACATACCAAACATACATTAAGTACTGTGTGTAAATTTCTAAACCTTATTACATAGGAATGGAGGAAACTGCAGCGGGCCTATTGGCCCATACTGGGCAGTTCCGTTTACTCCCAACCCCTATCGGTCATATATCCATCCAACCTACTGTATGTTTGAAGCTATCCAGCATATTCGAGTTAATGATGATGTTTGGTAACTTGTTCCACTCATCCACTACTCTATTTCCAAACCAATGTTTACAGGTATCTTTTTGAAGTCAAAAGATCACTGGAACTAAAATGTATCTTGAGACAGGATGAATGCATATTAGCCAAACTTTACACAAAAGGTACTGCATGTAAAAGCATAGATTTGATTGCCTTGGAGATCATGGATGAAGGGGGACTATATTTTGAAATACTTTATTGGTTGATGATTTTTTAAAGGACTGGACTGCTTTACAGGAAAGTCAAGAAGCCCTTGGAATAGCAACCTCAAAGACATTTGACTCACTGAGTGATGGACATAAACACCTTCAACAACAGCAGCAACAGCTTTCAACAGCACACCATGCAATTCACAGCTTTGTTTCCTCAAATCTGCGTGAACTGTCTAGAGAGAAGAAACTGATTGCATCAGGACAAAGGGAACTTGCGCTCATCACAGAAACAATTAAACGAAAGTTAGGTAATGTATGATGGTCGTACTGCAGTACATATCTTTTGTTTAGGAGGAGAGGCCCATTTGAATCAAAGTTTTTTACACGGACAGGTAAACACAAAATAGTGCATCTGCTTGGAGGAGGAGTAGAGATGATAGGGGAAAGAAATGGTGCATGGTAAGGGTTGAAAAGCATCAGGGTCTGGAAGAGAAACCTGATGGTTTTTAAATACGTCAGTACTTGAAACCTTTGGAGTGGGGGGCAGTGACACTGAGCTCGTGTGCAGTTCAACTGAAAGCGATTAGTCACCTTGGAGCGCTGGTCCGTACAGCATTGTGCATTTGTAATGGAGACATTTTTTATAAACAATGAGTGTGGTTGCAATTCAGCATTTATTTTGCCGCCAGTTTAACATTCATCAGAATGACGGTGTTCCTAGCTGCAACATAATTAAGTTGTGGGTTAAAATCTTACGAGAAATGGCTTCTGCTTCAAAGAAGAAGCCTCCAGGGAAAACACCTACTGTACCATGAGAACTCCAGAGAACAATGAGCGAGTACACCAACATTGTGTTAATAACAAAGGATGCCATCTCACCGATGTGAATCTTGTGTAAAATGCTTAGAGATACATAGCTCCTCCCCGACTTACGACCTACTCGACTTACGTCCACCCGCACTTACGACCTGCCTCAGTCGTACCAAAATTTGGTCAAATTACGTATTTTCGAGTCCCAAAGTCAGCACACAGACAAAATTTTCATCTGTAATTCATTTTGAAATGGCTGGCAAGCTTAAAAGTGAGTGTTTTGTGGTGTTGAGAAGAAAAAGAGACCCCCATCTTAGATTTTCTATGTATTATTTAAGAATTTCCGACTTACAACCATTTCGACTTACGCCCTGGATGTCGGTCCTAACCCCGTCGTAAGTTGGGGAGCAGCGGTACTGTTGTTCGGTTAATAAGTTCAGGTAAAAACTTTTTATTTATTTATTTATTTATTTTTGTTTTTTTTGTTTTTTTTAACCATCAGGTTTCTCTGTTGTGAGTCAAAGGGATAAGGGTCACAACAAACAAAAAATTAAAGTCTTTAAAAGTGAATTACTGTGAATGGTCCTTAATGTTTGTATTGGGAAGAACTCCGACTGTGGTATTAAATATTGGTTGTATGTAGTCCCTTTTAATACGTGAATACTTGATGATTGGAGAAAAGAAAGATGAGTAAAATTTTTAAATATAATACTTACGAACCATTTACCACCTACGATGCTACTCTAGGGTCATAAATATCGCCCCAAAACAATCATAATTGAAAGAAACACAAACACATAAAGAACAAAACAGCCAGCCAACCTCAACAATGAATACCACGAGTACATCACCAGATAGAAGACAAACGTACAGTACTGTATATTGGTAAAGCAGACCAGTGGTGAAGAGTCCGGTGACAACCCAAGTTTGTATGTGAGTGAATCCACTCTGAACTCGTCAGCTTCTATGGGTTGTTTTGATGAGACTGACCCAAACATCGTACTTGATACGTATATCAATGTTACGGTTACAAAATAAATAATTATGCAATATATTATAATACAGTACGTTATAGAGAATAAATACTGTAGAACACAAGTATAGTATGTCCGTCAGGCACTTTATTGGCCAGACACGACAAATTACAGCCAATGAAACAATTGGTCATTAAGGGTTGTAAAGGTTTATTACTGTAGTAGATACCATTCATGTAACGATATGAAAGTGCTATACTGTACTGTATATTGGGATTTAATATTATTTATATGAAAAGGTAATTTTATTTTATATTTTATTCTATATTCGTCGTAAATATGAAGAAAATAATCGTGTAAATTGTATTGAGTACTAAATTAACTAAGGTCTTAAATATGAATCGCCATCAGTAGAACCGTCGTTATCGGAGGCCTTCTTGTAGATGGAGTAGTTGTGTATCACACAGTTTATATTTTGATCTTTATATTATCACCAGATGAAGCACATCAGCAGTTGATGATACAGGAGAACAGCCAGAAAGATGCACATAGCACTATTCTTGAAGATCTCTCCAAGATACAGGATAATGCACTCGAGGTCTGGCAGAAATTAGGTGAGTTTTATTGTAAATTTTTTGTATGCCTGGTAATTTGTCTCTTAATACATGCAGGACTACAGGAAAAAAGTATCAAGTGTGGATCAATGAATTTGGTTGACTTCTTCATGTGCATCTGCTGATTATAGGAATAGATTTTTAAGCTGTTGGATTTATTGGGCACCTGTGGGGTCATGTGGGTTACACTAAAATAATTACCGGTAGTTAATTCCATTTTATTTTCAATAGATTTTTAGACTCTAAAAGTAGGCTTTTGTATCCCTGACTGAAAGCTAGGTTGTGGAGGGTATAGCAGGGATGATGTACAGTCACTCCAAAAGGGATGTTTACGGAGGGGTTCAATAAATTTCAAAATGAACACTACGACTCCTGTTGTCTCATTAGGGTTGTCAAAATCCTTCGTTGGTTTTGTCATAATGTCTCGCACAAATTGTAAAGATAACTTTTGGAGTGACTGTGTACGTCTGTGTGTGTCTACAGAGAAAGGACGGTTTGTATAATTAATTGTGTGTCAATTATAGTTGACAAGAGTTCTAAACAAAAGAGCACCAGCATGTGGATGAGAATGTGTGTGTTATGGGCAAGGGCAGTTGGTGATTATATGTGGGCAGTCATGGGTGTAGTGGGCGTTCCATGTTAATTGTCTGTCTGTGATTGTAATTCTAGTAAATTAAAAAAATTAACAAACTTGGGTAGTTATTTACTCGTTAATATGTGTTTTAATAATTTGCTCAACCTTAATTATATAAATAGAGGATCTTTTCTGTGTTATAAGATCTTCTTTTGTTTACTCACAACTCTTAGATACCAGTACTCAAAAAATCCTGTCAGCTCATGAGGAAACTGTTCATCAGTATGGGCGACTGACGGATGATTTGCAGCGGATGAACGCGACGGTGCATCATTTGATGGACGTCCTTCACTCTACTAGACGCGGGGTTGAAGACAAGTTGTCTTGGATTACATCTCTTGTTGGTGGCACTGATAACACTGTCCAGAAGGTGTATAGTTGTGTCTTACATATTAGCTACTTCTTCATTGGAATGATTTCTGCTAGCTTTCTACAGGTTGGTTCTTACTTTTTAGTTTATTTTTAGAGGTGCATCATCCATAATTGTACAAAGATGGTGTGTGTTTTATCCTGAATAACTGAACGTAACTCCCAAACTCATAAACCTCAGCAAAAATAATAGTGCCATATTTTGCTCTTTTATTATGGGTGGGATGCATACACACATAAATGCTTCCTGCAGTACAATGCAGGTGGGACAGACATATCCCAGAACATTTTTAAATTGCGTGCATTAGTTTGAAGATGAACTTTGATTGGAAAGTACTGTATGGCGAGTTATCTAGTGTTTCCTTTCACCGAGTCCATATTTTACGTCATGAAAAAACACCGAGTTACTATCGCAGTGGCGAACGGGAAGGTTGGTGTATGATAACTGTGTCTTGACCGGCAGGCAGTAGAAGGGGATGCCTCTGCCAATCCTGACTTTTATGTTGATCTTATTGATTCAACAGAAAGTAACAATTGTCTTGGACATAGAGAGGAGTGACAGTGATGTTGGAGAGCCAATAGAAAGAGAGATGAGTCGAGCAGTGGCGAAGCTGAGCCAAGTACTAGCAAAGGGAGGGGAAGACGATGCTATGGCGTAGAGTGTTGGGGATGGATTGCCGGTGACTTACAGTTTAAAACTCTAGATTTTGACAGAGTTAGTTGTGGACTAACTAGTGACTGTTCTGTCACTGAAAATTCAAACGAACTTGATTATCTTTTGGAGTTTCTGAATAACGATCTGTTAAATTTGATAGTGACAAACAAATCGTTACCAGTGATACTTGGTGGCATCATTGGGAAGAGAATAAATTTTTTTATTTCTGTGTACAGTCAGTTCTGCTATAACGCGATAGTTGTGTTCTTGTAAAACATCGTGTTATAGAAATTCGCGTAATAGAAATAACAGGGCTTATGGAGAAAATAGGGTTAGGTGCAGATTACTACTTGAAATCGAAAAAAATTTAGTAGTTAGCCTAACACAAAGGATAGCACAGTCTAAATAAATGTTACATTCATATCTAATAATGAAATCATACAGTAAATGTAACACATTACCTTGAAAAAATATGAATATAACTTGATGGGGGAGAAGGGTGATTTTGAGGTTGATAACATCGAGCTTTTCTTTAGTGTTATAGCCTTTCTTTTATGATCATCACTGGGAATGCGATCACTAGAACGCTTCTTGGAGATATTCTTCTTTACCATATTCACGGTTAATACCACAAAATTGGAGAAATAGTAAGCAAAAATTGCGTTACAGCAAACAAGCGTTCACGTTATACAAATATCGTTCCTCTATTCATAAATCGTGTTAGAGCCAATTCGCGTTGTCTAGACACGCATTATAGCAGAACTCACTGTACTGTATTATAATGATAATGTGTCATAACAGAATAGAGAGTATAATATGTTATTGAACAACTGACGAGGTTTGCGACACAAAATATATTCCAAAACTGATGGTGAGAGACAGGTTTTTACATTTGTTGCATTTACTGCATTTTTGTTGATAACACCCAGCTGAGCCACAGAAACTGCCACTTCATAAATAATTAGTTTCATAAGATTTTATAAAAATCTGTGCCATGTAAATTCCAAAATAAAATTGGAGTATGAGTATTATTTTCCTTATATGTATTTAATAATAATAATAATAGAAATAAACGGTTTATTAATAGAGTTGCAGCCGGTGGCTGAAAATATACAGACTTACATTTGATTTAGACATAATGATGTAATGTGCATTGAATACATTTACAGGGCTGTACAGTACATAAATCAGGAGTTGTTTATTATTTTAACAATAGATGGGATGGTGCCATTATTACATCTATTGGTGCGGGCTCTTGTGGGCTGAATTTTGTTGTAGTGGCGGACTGCTCGAGGTGGGTGGGGGGCTGCCGGTGGCAGGAGGTGGCGATGACGAGGGTGGTGCATTAGTTCACTGCCAAACCTTACCAGTGATTGGTGGTGGAGGTCACTGAGGGATGGTATTTCCAGGGTGGAGAGAGCATTGATGTAGCCGGAGTATTCTGCGCTGAGCATGATTCTGCAGGCCCATTTCTGTACCTTCTCTAGCCGACTTTGTTGGGTGGAGTTGAGAGAAGACGACCAGGCTGGTGACGCATACGTTAGTTTGGGGAGAATAAAGGTGTTGTAGATAGTCCTCAGCTCTGGCCTGGGTGTCCCAAGTGACCTAAGTCGTCGTAGCATGTGGAGTCAGTGTGTGTGTGTGTGTGTGCAGTATATGTATGAGAGGACGAGAGAGTTTCTGCATTTTAGTGTGAAACCGAGAGTAAGTAAAGCGAAGGGTGGCATGCTTATGTGTGAGACAGAGTGAGAGAATGCAAGTTTGAGGTGTCTTTACATCTGGCCGCCTTTATTTACCTTACTTTATTTACCTAATGGCCACTCACAATAGGTGGCCAAGGGAAGGTGGGCAGTGGCCTGTGTAAAATCCCTCTATTGTTCATGAGAGCACAGTAGCTGTGGTGCTCTCTGTCTGAATTCAAGATAGGTTCTCAGTACAGTACAGGCATGTGTGAATGAGGCCAGATCATCAATTTAGAGGTCAAAAATCTGACCTCTTGGCCATGTTTAGGGCAGGTGCTTTAATTTGCCTTATGAGAATTATATTGTAATAAATAAATAATAAGTGTTAAGTTGTAGACTTGTAGTGGTTATGGTTATATAATCCTACAGTGCTGTTGAATATTGCTATACCATGTGCATAATCTTTACACCCTCTGGAATTGAACTTGCAATTGATTGAACAACCAACTGAATGTGTTAAAGGTTATACAGTATAGTAAAAGCATATATTTAAATAGTTCGTGGGCAAACCTTTCTAGGATTTCAGTCACCGAGGCAGTATATTTTATTTGTAGTGTGAATTTATAAGAGGTTTCAAAATTGTCGCTGTTTTTCAGGTACCGTACCTGACTCGGGTAGCCCTGGTGGTGTTGGTGCCACTCAATGCTCTGGCAGAAGTGAAGCATGACACCAGTTTAGATTTTTCTACACTCACTACTATTTTGGGATTCTGTGTATTGGGTAAGTTGCTAAGATTTGTAATTTATTTTTATATTTTTATAAATAAATACAAGCTAACTTTTCCCAATTAATGGAAGGTAACATGGAACAAACACATACATATACATACTGAATGAACTCA